CGTCGGCCTGCGGACTCAAGGGTCCCAGGTTTGATTCCGGTCAAGGGCATGTACCTTGGCTGTGGGCACATCCCCAGTGCGTGGTGTGCAGGAGGCAGCTGATCGATGTTTCTAACTCTCTATCCCTCTCCCTTCCTCTCTGTAAAAAATCAATAAAATACATTTTTTTAAAAACATGCTCGTATAGCATTATTGGTAATAGAAAAATAAAAACCACACAACAAACAAATATACAAAATCCTACGACCAATCAGAATACCCATCATGGGGAACTCGTTAAATAAACTGCAGCACATTCTAACAAATGACTTTTTATGCAGGATTTAAAAGAGAAAGATATATTTATCTTGTAGTTAGCAAATGGTCCCCAAGATGGTGTGATCAATGTTGTGCTCACACATGGATGCTGCTCCCTTCCTCTCTCTCTAAAACTCAATAACTATTCTTAAAAAAAAAAAAAAAAAAAAAAAAAATCTAAACTTTGTCCATGTATAGCTTTGAGAAAAATATTTTTTAAATCTCTGCTACTTCTTTTTTGTTAGATCAGAAAAAACTGACTTGAAGGTTCCCCCACCCCAGAGGAAGTGGACAGGGGGAAATAGGAATAGGAGTAGGACAACTGATATAACCAGCCCCGCCTCTGCCTCCAGGTAAGAGCAGTAAGTGGGAGGGTAAGCACCTGGGAGAGAGAGCCAGGCATCCCAGTGCCCATGGCAATAATGTGGTTGTCCCCAATCCCAGAAGACTAATATACCACCCCCCATCCAGCAGCGAGGCTCTTTCCTAAAATTACAGCAACAATATGCCATACACAGATCCTGCACTACATGCGGGCTGATAGGGAATTTCAAAAATTGAGATGAATGCCCAGCGCAAGAATGTCAAAATGTTTGAGGAAAATTCTAACATCCAAAAGGAGAAACACCACATATCAAAAAAGAGGGAAATGCCCTGGCCGGTTTGGCTCAGTGGATAGACTGTTGACCTGAGAGACCGAAGGGTCCTGGGTTCCATCTGGTCGAGGGGCATGTACCTTGGTGGCGGGCTCGATCCCCAGTAGGGGGCGTGGAGGAGGCAGCTGATTGATGTTTCTCTCTCATCGATGTTTCTGACTCTCTATCCCTTTCCCTTCTTCTCTGTAGAAATCAATAAAACATATTAAAAAGTAAAAAGAGGGAAGTTACGCCTGAGGAAATGGAACTATCAGACCAAACAGAGCAAGGCGTGGTCCTCCTTGCCTCGGAGCGAGGGCGAAGAACCAGGCTCAGAAGGCCTTACAATGAGCCTTGCCTTAGACATTCATGAGCCAAGAATTTGCCTCCATTGTATTCTGTGACAACGAGAAAGGGTTACATACTGGACAAGAACGCGGGGGTTTAAATATCAAAATATTTTCCCAGCATACCAAACAAAAGATTATGTGACAAATGTTACAATATTAATGGAACAAACAGTAGAATTCAAGGTGAAAAGCACTCAGAGGGAAAAACAGTGATATTTCATATCAATAAAAGAACAATTAACAAAGAAATACTGGATTTTTACATGTCTCACATCAGGGCCTATAAAGCAAAATCTAATATAAACACCAGACTTCTGAGTGAAGATGTATTTCCTCCTTCCATCCCTAACGAGATGAGCACTAAATGGTGAATACACACACACTCACACGTCATCGGCAGCCCAGCTAGACTGGTGCCCCAGAAAATACCAGATTTGTCCCGAGCCAATGGAGAGGCCCAACTTAGCTGAGATCCTGCCTTCCCCTCTATTCTCAGGAGCTTCCCTGGTAAACGGATAAGATCCTGCAAAGTCCTGTCAATGCCATCAAACCAGGTGTGATCCAGCCTGAACGAGAATCCTTATGCCTGACCTCTCCCGGCGAAGAGGTGATACATACGGCTCAATTTTATGGCTTGTTCGATTCAAGATTCAAACGAGGTCTACACACAGCTTTTTAAAGCAAGTAACAGGGCCTTACACATTAAAAACAAAAATATACTTACCCCTTGATCTAGTGAGCCTGTCCTAATAATCTAAGGATGAATCTGTCGGAATATGTATTGTGGCATTATTGGTAATAACAAAAACTTGAAAACAACTTAAAGGTCCATCAATAGAGGAAGATGAATAAATGTGTGTATCAAAGTATGGATAACTGCGTTGCTATTAAAAAGTCAAGTTGGCCCTAACCGGTTTGGCTCAGTGGATAGAGCATCTGCGTGCTGACTCAAGGGTCCCAGGTTCGATTCCAGTCAAGGGCATGTACCTTGGCTGCGGGCACATCCCCAGTAGGGGGCGTGCAGGAGGTAGCTGATAATGTTTCTAACTATCCCTCTCCCTTCCTCTCTGTAAAAAATCAATAAAATATATTTAAAAAAATAAAAAGTAAATCAATCAATAAAATAAAAAGTCAAGTTGGATCTCTAGCTAGTGGTCTGGTGGGTTCCCCTAATGAAGTAAGCAAGAAAGAATAAAGTAACTGAGAAATATGATCTCACTTTTGTAAAAGCAAATGACAAATTCATATTATTTATTTTTTATTATTATTTTTATTTTTTGAGGCTGACCAGAGATGCCTTTTAGTGACAGGGAGTTAGTCTTTCAGAGTTTGAGAAGGCTTCTCAGGAGCTAGGCACACATACACATAGCCTTATTTCCTGTGTGGAGATGGTTAATGGAGAAAAAAAATGAGATTGTTTCATATACTATATATATATATATCTCACAAGTTAAGACATATAAAACTGGTTATATACTTATCATCTATATTATAAAAGACCTGCGGCCATACACCATAACGCCGTAACGACCAATGATCGGACTCACCAGGTGCACTGATGGGTCCCAGGGCAGCAGTGGGAGGGAGTTTGGGGTCCTGCGGTGCGGTGGGGGAGAGAGTGGGGAGTCTGGGTCTTGCGCAATTTCGCGCGCTGGGCCTCTAGTAATTTATAAGCATTTACTAGTTTATTGTTTGTTTTCCTTATAAACTATCAGCACCATGGACCAGAGACCATGTCAATGTTGTTCACTATTGTATCCCTTAAGAGGACAGCATATGTGCTCAAGCAGGATTTGTTGAAAGAATATTTCTTATCTTTTAAAGATACAAACTAAAATATCTACAGAATAAACAATGTGATGTCTAGGGTTCACTTTAAAATAACTCAGGAAGGCAGGGTTGTAAGAGTGGGTGGGAATATAAGTAGAACAGATTGATATTGTTGAAGCTGGATGTAGGGCACACAGGGTTCATCATAATCTTCTCTCTAATTTTTTTAACTTTTAATGATTCTGACAAGATCACCATTAACTTTCCTAATTTAAAACTTTTTCTCAATGTAATATGAAAACATTCAAATATACATAAAAGTTAAAAGTGAGCCCCCGCATAACCACCATGAAGCTTGACGATGCTGACATTTTGTTGTGTTTGCTTTATAGCTATCCATCTACACATTTATCCCTCTTATTTTTTGTGCATTTCA